GTCCTGACTTTGTCCGCCAGCAAGGGCTTAGTTGTCTGGATATTGGTAAGCAGAGGCATAAATTTGCAAAGTCTTTCTGTAAAAATTTAAGAAACTTTCAGGCTCCTGTCTCACTCTCTCAAACTTGACCTCTGAAGCAAACACTTTTTATGATAATCACTGCAATGAGGACTTAGATCAGTAAATTCTGGGAAATATGAGCAAAGTAAAAAATATCTTCAACATTCATAATGAAGAGTCTCACTGCAGTGTGACCAGGACCAACTTTGCTAGATGGACTTACAGCTTCAGGGAGTCCATCAGAAAGAGTCCCAAATGAGTACAGTCTAAAAAGGTAATTAATAAGCAAGTTACATTAAAAAAAAAATAAATCTCTTGACCTTTTTCTTTTACAAACAGATTTATTTTCCCTAAAAATATTTGTATTGTAACTCTTCCCTATTTGTGAATATTCACAAATAGTGGTGTTTGTAGTAGTATTCTCAAGTAGTATTACTACTGTTATAACTTCATCAGCTAATATCTGCCTGCAAAAAGACCAGCTTGCACAACATCAAGAAAGAAACCACTCAAACTCTTCTCCCCCTCCAGTGGGATGGATGCATAAGTCAATGCACTTCTGCTTTATTTACTCAGTCAAGAATTCATTCATCAGCACTGGAAAACACAGTTCAATCTTGTGGAATTTTTGCTTGAACACACTGTTGAACCAGGAAGTTAAATTAAAACAGTGCACCTGTGATACTACTGGAAAACTATGTCTGATTCTGCAACAGTTGTATGTACATACCTTAGAATGTTTATCAAGGTGGCGTAAATGCAAGTAGCAACCACAGCTATTCAGATGAGAAAATGACTTAAAAACCAGATACAACTGCACTGAAAAAGTCTGAAATCCTTTTCATATATTTCTAAGACATAACAAGAGAATTCTGGACACCTTGCCTTAAGTTTTAAATTACTTAATTAAGCCTTTGTTCAGGGATAGGGGAGAAAGATGTTCTAAATAAGAAACTGAATGTGATTAAAGCTCTAAGTTTAAGATGTAGGAAAAATAATCTCCAGTTTATCAAGAGGCATGAAAGTAAACCTTTACATTCACACATCCTCAATTCCGTACAAGGAGACAGTTGAGCATCCAAAGGCACTTGTATTCTGGCAGCTTTGATTCTTCCCAGACTTTCACCCTATGCATTTAGATGCTGTCCCATTCCCAAAACTGTTCTCTAGTTTCTAAACTTTCCCAGCTTTTGTAACACTCAGATCTTCCCTAATCTATATAAAAATATAGCTTGCCATGATTACCCTTCCTATCCCACCTCTCCCAAATCCTTTCATCTACTTACTCTTTTTTTTTTTTTCTTTCTGGGCAATAATAATCTAGTCCTCATCTTCAGAGCTCTTTCTGTTATTTCTCTTCTCTCTCAGGTGTCCCTTCCCCTCTACTGGATCACTTGTTTTAATAGCTTCTGCCATACTCAAAGACTCTGCATGCAGTGAAAACAACCATTACATATTAGCTAATCATGTAATCAGCATATAGTCAGGACACTGCCAAGCTGAGAATTTATATACTTACCCCCTTGATGTAGGCACATCACACATCTCTGCTGGCTTGGCAATCCTGAGACACATGGAGCAAGGCTGCCTCTCATTATTCCTCAGAACGGGCTGATATTCAGTATTTTTTAATTGCTATCTTCTAACTCTCCAAAAAATATTTGCCCTCATGCCTCAATTTGAACTTTTCTCATCTCCATGAGTCGTCATTACTATCTTAGAAAAATAATAATAATAATAAAAAAAAAAATCTGTAATTGTTTTATTACCTGGCTTTATGACATGTACTCTCAGCTCAACAAGTTTTCCAGCAAAGTTAAGCAAAAGACTTGCATATGTGCTTCATAACTGAGCCTTGAACAGCTGAGCCCTGGACAAGGTTTATACCTATTTACGTGTGCTTTTCAACAGCCCATCCCTGCTTTGCTCGTGTCGTCAGCCTTCAAGGATTTGTGCACCTTTCCCTCCAACATCTCTTTAACATTCAGGGCATGCTCCCTTTCAAATCCTTACCACCACTACCATTCCCTCCAAAATAGACCACTTCTTGTGGGTAGATTGTTTAATGCCTGCATAGCATCGTGTTAGCCCACAATCGCATACAGTCTCCTCAGTAAAAGCATAGCTCCCTGTCTACTTGTCACAAAGTATTACAGCCTAGTAAGGCTTAAAACCATACCGACAAACGAATCCATCTGACGTCCTCTGAAACTAATTCTCCCTAAAATAATAATAGAATAATAATAATAATAGAAATCTCACTTAATATTTATCCTTTTTTTTATCCTCTCCCAAAGAATGTGAATTCTGTAGCAGATGAGCTGTTACAAACAGTTATGGAAAGGGTTCACTCTCCTACTCACTATTTTCCTTGTTTATATTCTCTGATTTCAGTTGAGCAAGATCACATTTGACACTTTTTCCTGGTCCATTCAAATTTCCAGAGTCTCTCTTCAGTTGAATGTGTCCTTTCAGGCTCCTGTCCTCATCCACATGCCAGTTCCTGCATCATCTCGTCGTAACTTTAAGGCTTAGCCTCTTACAGCTGAGAATAAAACAGATTTCTCTTTAATCTGATCAAAGTCAAAGAAATTTTAAGTGATTTGTACCTAAAATATTAGAAAAACTTTTTTGAGGAAGCATTTTTCCTCAAAGAACACAACAGTTTTGATAAATATTCTCAGTTTAAGGCAATGAGCATAGTTATCTTCTCTGTTCTCCAGTAAAATCATTAGCCAGAAATTTTTCTGATCAGATTCACTGTGTGCTGTGTTAACATAAGAAAGGAATAAGCAGGCAAGCTGGGCTGCTCTTTCCACAGCAGTGCTGGCTTTCCTGGGTTTGAAGTACTCAGTTCCGGCCTCACAGGCAGAAACACACGATATGAGCCACTGGAAGAGACAGGCTACTAGCCTGGACTGACAACTGACCCGATTCAAAAGAACAATTTGGTTTTGTTAAATCTAAGCTGAAGCTCTGACATAATAAAAAAAAAAAACACCACACAAAAAAAAACAAACCATGGGCAAAATCTTGGTTCTGCTTAAGTCAATAATGGCTTTTCTATTTCCTGCAGCTAGGACTTCTCACAAGATTATCTGGCTCTGAGAAAACTGTTACGTCAAAAATGCACAAATAGTATAGTTACTATTAAGGACGGTACAAGAACCATCTTTAGTGGTTTGGTTTATATTTAATCTAGCTGTAGCCACACATATCTGTGCTGAAATATTCAACACTTTTCTCCTACCAAGTGACTGGAAGTTTTTTCCCCTCTCTCACCTTATTCTGTGAAGTCCTTTAAATCACATCTCTCCAGATTACAGTAACAGCTGGGACCTGTAAAAGGACTGGAATTTAATCACTAAACCAGAACATATAAGCTTACATGAATCTTTAAACAAAGAGAGACTCAAAGAATGGAGTTTATAGCAGATGCTCCCAGTGCAAAACAGCACCAGCAATGCCAAAAAGGAATTTTAATGAAAAAAAAATACAATACTGTAACAGTTACTCATTAACATAACATTTTATGAGACAATAGAACAAACAGAAAAGACGAAACAAAAATAGAAAATATTTTGAAGATTTTGTTAAATACTTGATAAAATGTGTCATTGAAATTAGTGCAAATAAATAAAAAGCTTAAAATATTTTTTTTCAGTTATAGAATCTGTCAAAACACATAGTTCTCATCATCAGTCAGATAAACTTTACACCAGCTGAGGAAAACTATGATGATAAACCACCATTAGCCCCTACTCTCCAGGGCAGAAAACTTCGACTGAAAGACTCCTGTCTACAAAGACAAGCTAAGACAGAAGTGGTCTTCAAAGGAAGTCACAGTTGTGATTGCAGGCAAAAATTGTTGCTATTCCTTACAGCATTATTCAAAGCTAATGCACAGGGCCATGCCTGCATCACTGCCTAAAGCAGAACCTGACCTCACTCGTGCTGTTTTACCTAGACATAGCTCTCCAAAATTGTTATTTCATCTAATACATAAGCTTATTTAAATAGGAGTACTCTTAATTCCTGGCTGTCAGGAATCTTCCCCTGTTGTTGCATGGGAGTATAAAATACACACTATAAATAATATATATGTAAATAAAGAGCATGTCACAAACCAGCTTCAGAATGCCTTATCCAATGGAAATTTGTAAACATTACAGAAGGACCAGATTACTTCCTATATAAGGATAATTTTGAGTAAGTTTTCATTTACAATGAAATGTAAAGTAGCAATATAAAAAAATTTTACATTTACTGCCAGGGGAGTAAGTCCCATGGTCTCTTAGGTGAGGCAAGGGATGACAGAAGAAAGCATTGACATTTCACAGGCTATTAAAGGATACAACTTAACCTCAGCGGAGTTGCAAATTGTGTATTTCAAAGCCTCGTTTATGCGATCAGATCTCAGTGTGCCATTCTAGATCACATTCTTCCCCCTAGTCCCACACTTGTAAGCATTCTTTCACAATTTTTCAGTTTGACCCACTGAGATCATAAAGAATTTACATAGATTTCAGTCTCGGAATTTACTGTGAAGCCTAAAAATAACAGAATATTGGCCCTGTTCTTAGACAGTGATTAATCCACTTTTAAGATGAGGGAAGAGAGAAACACGTGTGTATGTCTTCAGAGAAGCGTCTGGTCAAAAGACCACAATAGTCAATTGAAAGTCTTCTGTAGAGTCCCAACAGGCTCTGGATCCAGCCCTTATATCCCTCCAGAAAATGGCAACACCACATAAGTCACATATCCAAGCATGACTGTGAGCTAAACTCAGTGTTCACTCTATAAATCTCACCTCCAGCATCTGCACTCTCTTGTACAGCACTTTTTCAACTTCTACATTTTTCAGCAGAGCAATGCAGTTTACAGGGCAGTACACTGCCATCTAAACGTGTAGCCAAGAATTAACCTGTAAAAACAGCACATTAATTATGCATGCATTGTTAATTTCTAACACGCTTCCTGTTAACAAAACCTGAACATGCATACAATGTTTGAATCTTAGTCTCTTCAGAGCCAAATTCTGGCTGGCTCTTTCACACACATTTTTTCCAAAATACAATTGCATCTCAGTCTGCATTTTTCCTGAACTCAGATCTGAAGCTCCTCTGTCCTTAGAGCTACAAAGAGCAGATCTTACAATGTTAGACCCATGTTAGATTTCTAAGTTGTCCAAAAAAAGTGTGCACTCTCTCCATAGTTCCTGTCTTCTGGCAGGTCCAGCAGGGTGCCAGCATCCAGACACAGAACAATCAGAGCAAGTAATAGTTGTTTGGTTTACTTAAAGCAGAGGGCAAACAAGCCCTAAATTAGCTTAGGAAGAAAAATGTTTTTTTTTCCCCTCCCTGGAAATCATACAGTAATACTGTTTCCCAAAGTTTTATTCCTCATCCTTATAAAATATAGTACATTTTATGAACAATTATCTCAACATGATAATAATCCACAAAATATTCTTCCCCTCACTTCAGCATGCAAAGGAGAAAACTACTTTAAATGGCTTATTCAAAGTTACCATGTAAAGAGAATGCTTCTTCCATTCTCAAAACCTTTGTGATGCTACTGTCCATTTCCCCATGCAGAATGCACAGTAAGCTCAGAGCTGAATAAGGCGAGGTGCCTTTTCAAATGCCTTTTTGAAGCTGGCTGATCACAGAACTTGACTTCAATGTTGCCATCGCTGAATGCCTCCCTCCTGGCTTCGTCCGAGTCAGTGGGATCTCTTTGAGAAACATTTGCCTTTTGCTGCCTCATGGAAATCCCTGAGTTCCCAAGCTGCCTGGTCGGTGATGCGTTTTCTTTGACAACGCAGAAGCAGAGCGCAGACAAAAAGTTTTTCTTGAAGTTTTCATTCATGAAAGCATACACAATAGGGTTGCAAATAGAATTGAAGAATCCTATAATCTGGACGATTGCGAAGATCATTTTGACCGTCACATCATCATACTCCTTTTCAAAATTACCTGGAAAGGAAAGAGGAAATATGCTGTAAGCACCGAATAGCATAAATGCCTACTACTTAGCCTATTTATTATATCCAGTCTGGCATTAGAAGCTTTTATTTAAAAAAATCAACAAAATACCTTGCTGGAGGTTCTTAATATTAGCAATAGGGTTTCATCAGCAAGGAAAGATCAAGACCTACCTCATAGCCCTGCTTTGTGTATATGAAAATAAGGACAGAGTCATTCCAAAGAGGCAATTTATGAGCCAAAAAGCTCACCTAATGGCCGAGCAATAGAAAACATCCAGTCTGTTAAGTATAGGCCTTGTTTATTCAAGTTGTTCTTCTGGCTCTAAGTCTGTGTCCATATCAAATGTGTAAGTACTTTAACACCAGTCCCTGTCTTGTCACTGACCGCACGCAGCTTCTTTCTCTGTGCTGACCCAGATCAGCTCATTGAGGCAAAAAAATGCATCTTCTTGGTCACATCTCTCACTTTTTAATCATTGTGATCACAGAGAACTCTGAATTCCTTGAACTCAAAAATACTCAGTGACCGAGCTCTGGATATGTACTACAAAGGTTTATATGGCAAGGAAAATAAAGTCTTAGCAGCACCTGAAATAATTCCAGAAATTAGCAACGAAAAGAGAGTAAACAGTTCATGGAGTGTTATGGGCAATCTTAATATGGGACAATCCAGACAATTTTAATAGTTACAGCTTCTGTGCTTCTGCTTCTCCCCAGGCATAAATATCATTTGGTTCAGCCAACTCGCTGCAGGACTACTGATTTATCTGCTACAATCTTATTTGTGATAGCAGACAAAGAAACAGTTGCTGCCTTTGGCAAGTAGAGGACAACTGCTACTGAAAAATTCCTCTTGTTCCTACATGTAGCCTGCTGTATAGTCCCATATACTATCGCAGTACCTATGCAGGAGATGGGAGATGAACAGACCCCAGAGAATAGGCCAAAGAGCAAAAAGCCAAGATAACAAGCATTGAGGACATTTCCAAGCCAGTATCCAGTCAAGACCACTGAAAAAGTTCAACTGGATTTGTTGGGTTTTATCACTATCATGTCCAGTATTTATATTTACACTATGCCTACCTAGTTAAAGCCAGGACAAGCAAAGGGATTAATATTTCATAACAGTTTAATTCAAAGCATAACGACAACTTAAGTGGATGCAAATAGAAGTCTTCACACATTAAATTAAAATTAAATTTGAATTAGAAAATTACTTGTTCAAGACATTTTTATACTTGGAGATAACTTTCACCTTCCAGCCAGGTACTTTTGACCTTTCAGCAAAATTGGGTAGCATGACAGACAGAGGAAAAAAAACAAGAAGCTACAGAGATATGCTCACCATTCCTAATAGTTGAGTCTTGCTTTTTCTTGAGTCTTGTAAGGCCTAACAAACCTTTTCAGGACTGGATTATGTGCTGTACAAATTCAGAAGCAATTATAATCTTATTTCTAAAGAGCTTATATTCTAAAAGAGCTGGTAGAGGGTTTGGGTTCTCTCCCACTCACCTTGCAACAACATTCAACAGGGTTTGCAGCAAGACACAAAAAATTATCTTTTTTATTTTTTTTTTACTTCACACTGCAGAGAAGTTGAGATGTGGCTGACACATGAGTTTCTCTCACATGTAACATATCTCCTAACCACTACATTAAAGATCCTTTCCAACCTAAATGACTCTATGACAACAGATTTTTTGAAACATGCTCATTTTCCATAAGCACTGCAGATCTGTCTATCACTCATGGACTTCAGAGTAATTCATCTGTTGTTGGCTATATATCTCTATTACAAGACAGTGATCCAGGATTTATAAGAACAACATTAAGCACTGATAGCAGAAGGTGTTCTGTAGCTGAATGCTGCAGCAGTACCAGCTTTTCACAACCTGTAGTTTCATTATGAAAAAAAAAAGAAAGGCTTTATGGTATGACACACGACATACTCACTGTATTCTATCATCATGTGAATCACATGGAAAGGGGCCCAACAGACTGCAAAGAGAAACACCACTGTCACCATCATAACAATTGCTCGCTTCTTCTTCCTGAAATTGCATCAAGATATTCCATACTGAATCACTAAGAATTGACTGTAGGTAGATCAGTCTCTTCAAGTTAAATCTGTAAATGCGTTGTAATGGTTGCAGATGGAAATAAAACCCCGGAAGAATGCTCAGAAGTACACAACTCCCTTTGAAACGAAAAACGCAGCATCATATAAATGTAGTACATTAATTAATATCTTTCATTTCTCTCGTTTGGGAAAGCAATGCACTTTGCAGCAGCAAGCAGTGACATTAGCGTAGCTTGCACGGCATTTTCGCTCTATTCAAGCAGATGCAATTCCAATAGGAAGAGATGGAGGGGAAAAAAAACTACATAAAATTCCATTAATAGCCAAAAAAAACCCCCACGAGTCCCTTCCTAGATCTGGGAGCTGACCATACCTGCAGCATGTGATTACATAGAGAACTTGGCAGAGAGTAAGTGAAATTACACCCACAACATTCAAACTTTGCTGATAGATGAAGTGCTGGAATAAGAGCAAGAAACACACTCCCTGCCTCCACTGTAATATCTCCCAAACTCAAGATACATACAACTTTATCATCATCCCCAAATTGATATATAATTCATCTAACTACATTCATAGATCCCAAGATGGATCTTTCACTTAAGCTAAAGCAGCAGCACTTCGCTGGTAGCAGTTACAGGATCTTCTTCCCACTGTGTGAAAATAAGCTGAAGGGCAGCCCGAAGATTTCATGTCACTGCACGTCACCTTAAGTCCTGTGAGACAGCACCCCCTTTCAATTTTGATGTGCAAGGGTCCACTTCCTTAGGCACTTTGTTAGACAAGTATCTAAGGAATCGACTATCTTTAAGCTGCTTGTCTGTATTCTCACAGTCAATACTTAAGGTGATCCTCTCCTCAATGAGCAGAACTTAAAGGCTTCTAGCACATCAGGCAGCAGATCAATTCGCCAAATGAAAGGAAAAAAATGAGGAAATATTAAGCGTAGCCCATATTTAGTGCTAAGTGGCAAAGTTGATAATTATTGATTTTCATAACTTTTCAGATAGAGCATTACCATCTGGATAGTCTCACACAAACACATCTGAGAACACTCAAGTTAAACTGGTTTTAAATTTTTTCCCCCGTATGCTAATTTAACTTATAACAGGATCATAAAGCAGTGTTCAGAGTCTCAGAATTACATAAAGAACTTCCCACAGAACATATAGAAATAACATAGCAGCATTTGCCCCTAGTCATCTTCTAACTCATGGCCTACATAATTTAAAAACTAGCATTTCACAATGTATAATATGAGATTTATTGAAAGGGCTTTATTTCCCAGGTGTGGCTACACTATACTTTGAAAACGATCTGTTTAAGTTGCCTTAAATTGAGTATCTCGGTGTTAAATAACTAGCTAGCTTTAACAATCTGGTCCACACTTGCAGACTTCCCAATGGATAAGGAAAGATACTTTTTTTTTTTGCGTTGGTATTGAAAAACTGTCAGAGGAAAAAAAACTTTCTAGAAGTCAAAATTCCAACTGTATTTTACTTTACAAACCTTGATATTTTAGACATTTCACTCCCATGAATGGTTTGAAGAACTGAAGCGTCTCCCACTCGTTTCTTAATCCAGAGTTCATAGCCAATTTTAGTGTACAAAAAAAGCATCAACATCAGTGGAAGAAGGAAGAGTATAACAAGAATAAAGGTCGCATATATCTTCTCATAAATCGGACTGGCCCATTCTTCCAAGCAACAAACATACACTTTTTCATACAGAAAATCATATTTAACCTGTAACAAGCGTAAAGGAGATGAGTCACTACGGTGTTTACTCCAAGTGTAAAACCCAAGCACATTCAAATATTCCCCATTCTTAATACAACAACCAAAATTCAACAGAGAGATTTTTCAAAGTGACAAAATTCTTCCAAGCACTTTTCCACCATAAGTGTTGCGTTGATCCAAGTTGACCAAGAGAGGTCAGGGGTCTCCTCCTCAAAACTGTTTTGTTTTTTTTAAACAAGAATTTTCAAAGGAGACCTTGGCTATGCATTTTGCAAATAAAGATGGGTGTATAAAAACTTCACATGCTAGTCACTTAAAAAAAAAAAAAAAGAAAGATTTGTTAACATTCAGACTCACAAGCAGCAGATTCTGTCAAGCCTTTTTCTTTCCTCCCTCCAAAAGCATACAGCAACTCCTTAAACTATTATGCACAGCTCTTCCAAATCTCAGGGAACGCTGTCATTCTGAAACAACAACCTAAGCCCTACACTGCTGTATGCCAGTGTATGCCTATAAACCAACAGGAAGCAGCAGTGGAAGTCATAGATATAATTACTGCTCTTTGACATAATTGGAGAGGGTAGACATGACTAGTCCCTGCTGGTAGTCCTCCTTCCAGTGCATGCAAGTCCCAATCCTTAGCCTTTCTCATGCTGGCACACAGAATAAAAGCTCCACTTCTCTTATCCCACTGTCGCTTGTTAGGAGTTGATTCAATTTTATTCCTAAAGATACAAAAAGATCCAGCAAGGACTACGTTTAAAATGTAAATTCTTATTTCGCCTAACATACCTCAAGCCGCTGCACATGCCACATAGGTGACCCAACAATAACTGCCAGCAACCAGACCATGCCTGTAAAATACATTTTTTAAAGTACATTAAAATACATTTTTTTAAAATACTTTTTATAACAAGCAGCATAAGTTTTGGTATGAACAGTTTGACAGCTTCATATTTAAAAAGTCAGGCAGAGTAGACAATTTAAATAAAGAACAAAGTTTTCCATATGAGGCATACATCAGTCAACATTCATATCAATAACAGCATGCTCTTTTTTTAAATTAGTTCTCTTTCTCTCAAGCTACCTTCATTTATTGGTATTCAAGTATAAAGGCAACTTAATTTACATGAGCAGCCCTATGTATGTTCTCTTTGTGCTACAATGGAAGGATCGTTTACAGCTGTGACACTGCTTTAGTAATTGTACATTTTGAACCTTTATTAAAAAAAAAAAGCCTTCCAAAGCTTCATCAGAGTCTTGTTTAAGTTCATTGTCAGGGTTATGGCTAGTAATTACCATACATATAGGCACTGTCCTTGAGCTATTTTATAAACATTACTAAGCTTACAATTAATCCTGCCTCTGAATCACTGGTGCCTTCTCTGTTCTGTCATGTCATCTACACCAGCTACCCTGAAGATTATTTCTCTATACACACGATTAGTGGAGATGCCTAAAGTCTTACCAAGCATTGTGAAAGCTCTTTTATTGGTGTACTGCCATTTCATTTTTAGTGGATGCACAATTCCCTGGTGTCTTTCCACAGCAATGCAGGTCATGGTAAGAATCTCGGTTACAATAGCAGTGGATTGAACAAATGGTACCATCTTGCAAGCAAAGGCACCTGCAATAGTCAGAAAGTAAGATATGCAACTGTTGCAGTTCATGAAAAAGCTATTAATACTAGACTTCATCACTAAAGTGTTATTGTGCAAAAAGAACAGGCTAATATTCTTAGATTTATTTTAACAGCTAAACTGGTAAGTCTCCTATTTAAGCTATTCGTCAAATGTAGCTTTCAATAGTCTTTCTTCCGTTGTGCACACTACATCTGCAAAACCAAGACTTCCAAGGACATATTTGCTTGTTCTGTATCAGTCTGAGACTTACTACTTATTCCTATTTCAGTTTTGACCAAGTCTTTCCACATGTGTTTTCAAATGTGCCAAGTTACAGGGATATTTATTATCTTTTATCTTGGCAGATTACTCTCCAGTTTTATGAAGGTCTTGCTGTAACCTGTGTAAAAGTTTACCTTTTCTGCTGTTGCAAATACATTCCTTCTGCTCATTTAAATTCCACTCTATTTGTATACTTTGGCACTTAATGCATCGTTCTGCCAAGCAATATATATAGGAATCCTCTAAGACGCATAACATAAGAGGATAAATTCAACCTCTTCCTCATCTTTCCATTCTCCAAGTCTCTGTCTTTCCTGATTAACACATTATATTAATTACACCATACGAATTAAATGCAATTTCCTGCCTGCATTTTCACAGCTGTGTAGGTTCCCGTTGTATTTATGCACAGCCAGCACAGCTCTTCAGATTTCATTGCTGCTATAGCTTCCCAAAAGCACATATTCTATTCTTCACATATTAGTCATTCTCCATGACTCACTCTCAAGCCCCAACCATCTTTACACCAGTTTCTAAGTATTCTTTCTCAAAAATCTTACATTAACACCTTTCCCAACTTACTTCCCTTTTACTCATTTTCTGACCATGAGGTAATTTTCTATGTCCACATTCTCACAGTTCTCTGACATTCTAACAGTTCAGTACCAGCTATTCATTTCAGCAACAGCTGCAGTTATTTCCCTTACTTGATCATTAATTATACTTTACCTAGATATAATCCATAAAAACTCAAAATAGCCAAAGGAATATCTGATCCAACTTGAAGTCAAGCTTTAAAATGCTACAGACACCTTAAGCAATAAAAGCATAGAAAACAAAGAAAACAAACAGGAAACTATCAAAACTTAATCCTGCCCTCCCTGAAGGGAACAAGGAACAGGGAAACTTCTGTCTGCTAGGCCAGGCTAAAAGCCACTGTAGCTTACAAGAAGGAACTGATTTGCTACTGGTCTTCTCAATTCTAGCTACTCAAAAGACTACTTTTTCTGTGGCTCCAGAAAGGAAAGGGGACGGCAAGGGTCAAAGGATGGAAGTCAAGTACCCTTCAAGTATATATTCAACACTAGCAACACCATCAATGTGCATGCAGATCCATCTTAAAACAGAATAAAAACACACTTTGAATAGTTCAAAGGAAATATTTCCTTTGAATATAGCTATTTAGAACACGGTTTGGAGATAACATCATTTAACAGCTAGTACTGTTCAAGTCTTCTTTCCATTCATTAACATGACTGCTAGATATTTTAGTTAATTTGTATCAGGTACTATTGTCCTTGTAATGATACACTCAGCTATAATAAATCAACACTGGATTAAGAATACAATGAAGTTCTGTATCTCCCAACCAGACTGAAAATAAGGATGGATTTGCTTTATGTATTCATGATAAAGGCACTTCAATGGCTTTATTTCATTATTTATTTCTTTGTAAATATATTCTTCGAAATATCATTTCAGATCCTATCTAAAGAGGACAATTAGTGAAAGAATAACACACAAAAGTGAAAAACAAAAGCCCACTCCAGTGAGTTTCAGTCAAGATTATTTAAATCTCACTCCTTATGGTGGTTTTGGAGCCATTAAGCTAATCAGCACTTAGATGAAGGAAGCATTTGCCAAAGAAATAAATCACTTCATTATAATGTGAAAGGAAGGGAATGTGAAGTGTTTCCTGGCTCTACACACACTGAAATAAAGCTGAAAAGCAAAGAGGGTTTAAGACAAATTTTTAGAAACCATGTTTAAAAGTTCTCTTGCGACAGACCAATCATCAACAGAAACCTACAGCTGCTGTCAAGAAAACAACCACCCAAATAGTAATAATCAGATTAGAAGAGCTGAGTAGCCTGTGATACGGAAGAAAACAATGAGAGGTATTTGTCTTTCAAAGGTGAGAATTAAAAAGCAGGGAAATACACACTCTTCTTCAAACCTACGAGTAAAAACGAGGTAAGAAAGGATGAGATCTACTTGCTTCAAATAAATCTGACTGACACGCCAAGTAGAACAGTACATTCACTGCCTACAGGTAACTGCTGAAAACAATGCTGTCCTCCGGCACTTCAGGTACACTGCAACTTCCATCCAACAAATTCATGCTAGTTGGTCAATGACAACCATATAATAAATTACATTAGAAAATACTGATTGATTAAGTTTCCCTAAGGGAAAAAACTTCATACATTCATACATTTAAAACACCTTATTATCAAAAAGTAGTCTCCTACCTTGTAAAAGAATCATATTTCATTAAACAGACAGCTCACATTTTAATCATTAACTGGCAAAACGCAACCCCTTTCTAGAAAAATAGCTGTGAAGCACAGATGCCAAACAACACTAAAATTTAAATAATGTTTCTTAGCTGGTGATTTAAATCATTAATTACTAAAGCCACCTTCAGTGTCAAGTGAAAGAATTTAAGAGAAGCTTGATCATTCACTTTTTTCCCCAAGCTGACCATCTTGTTCCGTTATTCACTAATTCTTTATCTTAAATTCCTACAGCCTTCAAATCACTGAAAACAAATCAAAATCATTATTTGCCTCTTCTTTCAATGAAGAGAAGTGCAATAAAAGCAGGAAATAAAGCAGGCAAGAAAAAAACAGTTCCAGAAGGATGTGACAGCTACAGTCCACCTGACACATCCTCGCACTCCCAGTCCTAGTCACTCACTCTCAGAAGACAAATCTTTCAGAACATAATTTTGCTTCAGTTCTTTTGCAAGTCATTAAGTAGTTTTGGGCATCTAATATGCCTAAATCAAAGAAGCTCATTAATATTTTTTGAATAACTTCTAAAGGCTGTTTTAAAATATTTTTTTCTTGGAAAAACTTGCTGAAAAAGTATTTCCTTTCTTGCCTGCTCATTTTCCACTTACACCCCCTCAATACAGAAATGTGTGACTTTCTGGAATATTTTCTAATACTTCTTCACCTAATATTTTAAATATATATCAAAACTTTTAACTTGTACAAGGTAAGGCTTTCAGTAAACACTTCCAATAGATTGTTAGTGAACACAGCGCTGTAACATTTAATACTGACCATTTCCAACTGGGAAAGAAAATCATTTGCAGAGGAATACTGTGAATGAAAACAACTAATTGCTGCTCCTTTTCAAGAAGCTAACAGGTTCCCAAGAGTACTCCTTATGCACTGCTAAAAACTACATAGATTATTCATGCAATGCTTAGTTTTCCCCAACGATGACAGGTTCAGAAGGCTGCAAATTTAAACCGCATTCCCTTAAATAATTCTTCAGGCCTTCATTATCAGATATTGTGCCTGTAACTATGATTTAGCCATTTCATCACCCATTTGAAAGATGAGTTTTATTTATCTTTTTATTATGGTAACAAAAGCTAAATCCTGAAACCATTCTCTGATAAAAGTTAAATTGTTCCTTCCTCTGCCAAAATGTTGTTGATCAAAAGCACTTGCACTAAAACCTCTATCAGGGCTTGCAAACCAGTTCTCACCAGCTCACTTGAGGCAAGCGACATAAGTTTTCTCATATTTCGTAGCTTCAGGGCAGGAAACAAGTCATTCATCATCATACAGATGATATCCTTAACCGTCTTTCATACCTGGGCAATGCAGTGTTTTATATGGCTTCTTGGGCACAGAGGCATTCTGCATCCTTACCAGTTTACCACCTGCAAAGCACAAGTCTCTCACATTACCTACAGAGGACAAAGAATATTATACATACACCTGCCCAGGAAAAGGCACGTGTAGCACTCGATGGTTAACCTGTGGCAGTTTTAGTCTGTTTACAGTCAGCTACAGCAGCCAAGATAAAACAGTATGGCATGAGCCCATGCGATCTGATCGTGCACCTCGAATAGGAGAAGGTGCCTCTGCTCACGGCAGGGCAGTTGGAACTAGACCATCTTCAAGGTCCCTTCCAACCCAAACCATTCTATGATTCTATTACTAGCCTGTAGTTTATTTACCAATGCAAGATGGAGTGCACACCATTCCCTCTATGCTGCAATTTGGAAGTGCGGACCATACACTTTGGGCTAGCTGACCAAGGTATTCGACACTCTCCACCCTCCTTCCCCCTCCCCTCCAAGGCTACGTGCATCTTCTCCGCCTGTGGGTTTACAAAGCCTCTGAAATGGGCACCACAGTCTTCAGGTAAACTTGGATCAGCAGCTTATTTCAAATTACAGCGACTGGTAAAACCAAATGCAAACATGCAGATATGTAGGACAGCTGTGCAGCAAAGCACTGCTACTAGAACACAAAACAATGCACTCAACTACTGTCTGCAATCGTGGCACAAACAACAAGTAGTACAGGTGTGGGTTTTTTTTGGGCAGAGATACAGGTTAAAGATCCAGATGTCATCTCAAGAGAGAGACTTCCTAGCAGGGAGCAAAACAGGACATGGCAAACACATACCAGATTCACTCAATGTGAGGCAGAGAATCCCAGGTGCTTCTACCAAGAAAAAGGACATAAAAACCTGCACACTCACATGCAACACTAACCAATCTATCTGCATCCTAAAACTTGCTTTATTTCTTTGCCTGATTAATGCAACAGCAAGTATTTCACATCATTGTGTTTAATATTTACACTAATTAATGATATACACAACTTGCAATACGAAATTCCTTATGCTGAATATGAGTAGAATAAGTTTCCTTTAAGCAGCAGTTTGCTGCTTTTAAGCTAAACACCCTGCCAATATATTATACAGATAAAAAACCTAATCCTATTATTTCCTTTACTGAGGCATTCACTGTATAACCCTTT